TAAAGTCCAGCAGGTAATATGCCTTGCGCTTTAATAGAAATCTTGAGTAAGGAAAGCAAACGGGCAACGGCGGAATCTCTACTTTACCAGACTTGTGATAGCAGCCGAGACACAGATATAGACTGTGACCTCACGAGAGAGTACCGAATCACATGATGAACAGTCCACAATCATACGACCAAGAAAGTGAGGTTTCATATCTTCACTGAGGTAGAAAAATCGTCAACCGCACAAACGATTACGAGTGAACAGTATCGGTTTCGAGGTAAAACAGACGTATTATTTGAATCGAATAGTTCGATGGATTTTACTACCCTCTCTTCTATTACTAATTGGTCTCGTGTTGTCAAGTGTTGACTGCCACTTGCGATATGGGAGGATTGATTATATCGATTCTGCGAATGACACACTCGGAATAAGGATTGTTAGGTGACAGTGTGATCAATAATTACATGAGCTGCATAACGGCAATGTCTTGAGAGTGAAGAGTAGCTCTCGCGGATACCAAAGAATGGTGCATGACTGGAAGCGGTACAAGACCGACATCAGTAAGAGTCGGTGATAAGAATCAGTGAACCCTCACCAACGGATCGGCTGATGATTTAAAGGTCCAACAGAGTTGTTGGACGTTCGTCACCACGTCGTTAGGTAGGTTCATGATGCAGTTGCTGATTCCAGAGAAGAAGCGTTAGTGGGCCTATAGCTTAGGGCCCTTAGTGATCTGAAGACCTAAACTTTGGGGCTAGGACCTAACGCTAAGCGTAGGACTTTGAAATGGCTTCATTAGGTATCAGAAATCAAGCCATGAGGGATTTTTGGGGAAGTTCTAAACTTAAGGTGAAGGAAAAGAGCTTAAGGTCCTTAAGTGAACAGGACCTCTGAAAATGATCGAAAATTATAAGGTGCAGAGATAGAACCAGCGACATGGACATGCCAGCATGTCGACTTAACCTCCAGACAAGCAAGCAATTAGACTGTTAGTCACACAGTTACAGGATCTAAAGACTATGCCTTAGGAAGGCACAAGTATACTGGAAGTAGAAGGAAGGCCAGTAGATTGAGGAGCACGTGGCAAGGATGAGAGCCCCCCTGCGAAAGAGGCATTTTATGATGCTAAAAGATTCGTCTGCTGCAGCCTCGCCTTTGTGACACATGCTTTGTCGTAATTACGATTGCGTGATGGTTTCCGATTTCTTATCTTTCTTAAGCATGAAGAGTACGTGACTAATCAGTTATAACGCGTTGTTCATGTTAACAGCAGGTATGCGTTTCTGATATCCACAAGGTTTTGTTTTAGATAGTGTGGGTAGAACGCCTCGAGATCGAACCTCCGCACACTTCCGTCGATGAGTTACGATCTCGGAGGAGAAAGCGCGCGCCCGATGGTGAAGAGAGTATATCCCAGGCTGGTTTAGGCTGGTCCGGACCAACCTAAATCACAGCTCCTTTTTGGAGCTAGGTCCTTTAAGGGCCTTAGCTTGCGATGCAAACTTTCCTTCTCCTTGGGGTTTCGGCCCCTTTCCCTTGAGGACCTAACTCTTAGGTTCAGGAGTTAGGTCCTAGTTCTAAAGGGTCTAGCTCCTAGGCCTAAGATATCCACTAAGCCATTCCCCTAAGGTTTTCGTGTATCTCCTTAAGGAAGTCCTTAAGGTAATACGGTTTACGGTCGTAAAGTTATAGGGCCATTATGTAGGAAAGAGTGGCATGTGTAGATGCAAGTACCTCAGCGGTCTCACGATCAGTAATAAACTCTTGAGGGTGGAAATTGAACACTATGTCATGAATACCGACGGATTGAACATGTCCGTTCTACAAACATAGATTGTAGGATACCCAAGTTGTTCGTAATGCCTACAATGGACGCGTTATTGAGTAAAGAAGGGTAACATATGTAGATGTAAGTGCTCCAGCAGTATGACGACGAAGCATAAAGTATTGCAGGCGCGAAAAACTTCGTATGGAATTTTCAGTGAGTTGCATGGTTAGAAACGATCAATCCTTGACTTAAGTAAATCCTACCAACACATCTGTTGGCAATGGGAGAGAGGGGGTGGAGTTTTGAGAGAGAGAGAGAGAGAGACAGTGATGCAACATAAAATATAGGAATTATACTTTACACCACAGTAGATGTCGCGAATTTTTGGCACAGTGTACATCGGCGCATGTTCACGGTGGTAGAAATCTCTATGAAAACTGAACGTGCCAGTGAAAAAAACGCGTATGACACAAAGCTATCGTATGGCAGAAGATTAATGAGTGCCTAGTAGGTATTAAGGGTGTGAAGCTAATCAGATATAGACGAGGCACTTTTCTTGCTGTGAGTATGTAGCCTTTTCCCTAGGAAGCCGTCTAATTTTCTCTGGATATCTCACATTCCATTGTGATTATCCAATACTACGTTTGTCGTGCAATAAAGTTCTCTACGTCTTACAGTACCTCTTGCATAGCGTGATCGATCAGGACGATTTAGACTTGAAGCGTCACAGAAATTTGCTCCGGGTTATTAATTCACAATCGTTTCCGTCTCTGTTTTCGGTTCCTTCCAGAGTGTGTCACACTGTCAACACCCCTACATATATCATGTTCGCCGTGTACTTGGTACCTTTAAGAACTGTCTTTTCCGTATCTGTAGCCGTATTTGTAAGATCGACCGTATTAGATATGGGCCGATGTTCATTGTGTTAAAACGTTACAGGAAATTATTCACGTGAATATCGATCACGCCAGGCTCCTTGTTATCTTGAGCACTCCTCAATCATCTCTCGCGGGCCTGCGACACTTCCGGCCCAACAGACGACAATAAGATTTGGTTGACGAAGTTGCATATCGACGGGCAATGTCTAGATCGACCAGGACCGACACTTGTCACATTGCAGCCAATCTTGCACTTGAACTGTAGTGTCCTGGCAAGTACGACTGTGAAAAAAGGAGTCAAAGCATTCACATGCTGCAGACTCGATATATCACGGCCGCCCCTTCCTCCGGTCTCTGCAGCATCTATAACCCTCAAGCTCGGAAATACGGAATATGAGAACCCACCGACCGGCGCGAAGCACGCCAATAATACTCATCTAATAACACCTGCGACAGCTTATCACGGCCCGGATGACCACTGCGAAGATGCACATTGTCGATTATTTTTTTAATGAGTATGCTACCATTTGATGGGCCTAGCAACGCTTGTTTGATGATGTCGCCTTCGGTAGAGTGCCGTACTGTTTGTAACACGATACCATCTCTCACCTCATACAGTGGTAGCTGTCTCTTTAACACTCCCGGGGGAATAGGGCAACCGGAAGGCAGAGGCTTAATGATCTGCTTTTCTTATCAGGCATGGGCGAAATGATCCAGTGAGTAAAGACAGGCAGGAAGGCGAGAGGATAGATATATGATGCTGAGACTAGGTGTTTGAGTTATCATTGTCGCTAATTAAATTGATACTATAAGCATGTGAGATAGCTCCGTAGCCATCTGGCTCAAGCCTGTACTTTTACTCTCCATTTTCACATGAGTATTAGTCGCGTTGAGGAACCGTCCAGACTTACCGAGTCATGGTCACTAGCCGACCGTAACATGATGACAGCTGGTGGCGGTGCGACACTCAAGATGGACGACGGCTATAGTAAATCCGAAGCGGCTAGTAGTACCATGGGAGCACTCGTAAAGGATGAAGAATCCTACAAGAAGGAGCTTCGAAAAGGAGAGTCCTACGAGGCAGATTGAGGGGCAAAATTCAGAAGGTCCAAGCGGCGATGGAATGCATCATCGTACTAGAGGACCAGGGGACCACTGAGGAGCTGGCGACACTACAGCATTTCCAGCTCAAATTAATTTTTTACCGACAAATTTAATTTTCTACTCATTTGGTTAATGTTTTACTTTTTTAATTAACGTTTTTCCCATGGCTTTAATAAAATACCAAGAAAATTAATATTATGTCCGGTTTATTTGAAAGTTTAGCAGTTTAATTTAATCAAGGCCTCTACTAGATACCCAAGTATTGTTTGGAGATAATCGAGGATCAGCTACATTGTCGACTCTGTAAGAGGACGGCGATAATTGGGAACATCCGAGAGTCACTAGGAAAGCTCAGCTATGGGGGTCCCGGTAAAGTAGATCGGTTCTTCGGCTCGGCTGAGACGATTGTCCTTCGGTGTTATGAGGCGTATAAGGATAAAAGTGAGACGTTCAGGGTGGTCAGAGCGATAGTAAGTACCTTGCCATGTGGGGTGGCGGGGAAAGTGATCTTGAAGGTGAAGAGGCGAGTTCATAGCGTGGCTCTTACAGAGACGTCAGTGAGGAGGATTAGGAGACACTTTTATCCTTCTCTCTGAAGGTAAGAGATGTGAGTATGAGCGGTATCACAGTTGTGGACATCATCCGAGATGTCAGCAGAACCTCTGAGGACACTGAGCGATGTATTCTCATTTTTTTCTAGTCTGTCCCTATGTTATTCCCATAGTAGTGAGACACGCTCCATCGTGACGTGACGTAGTTTCACGCAGGAGCGCTATGCACATGCGTGCTGCGCGCTGAAGCTCATTGCTCATTAGTCGATTAACTTTCGTCTTCTTCGTCCCGACTTCCCTATGCCTCCTGCGCGTCGTGTTCCCGGGAAGTCCTCTAACTCGAACTCTAGGTCACAGGGCTCTAACAGCGCCAACAGCTCAGCTTTTGGTGGAGAACCCGGGCAAGGCAACGATGACGGTATCGCCAACACCTCCGCGGCCGCCCCTAGCGAGCAGGTTCCCCAAGAACCTCCCCTCGGTGCTGGTTTTGGAGCCCTTCAAGCTTTCCTCCAAGACCACGAGTTGGAGGAGGCCGATCTGTGGTTTCTTGAAGACAACGACCTTCCCGATCTCATACTTAGAGTTCAACTACGTCGGTACCGTACGACGAGGGTACCCCCGCCAATCGCGATGTTCGGTCAACCCGACGACACTGGCAATGCCCCAGAGAAGGTATGGCATACCCCGCCATCTGTGATGCAGCAGCACTCACTGCTGGGAACTCATT